GTGTGTGTGTGTGTGTGTGTGTGTGTGTGTGTGTGTTTTTAATGTATAGTCCGTAAATGTGTGTAAGTATGCATCTGTGTACCACTATTTCCGCATTTCTGTGTTTGAGTATGATGTTTTCTCTTATGTTGTTAACCCTTTTTTTGTTCCTTTTCTTATTTTCGTTTATCCTGTTTCCTGTTTAAGTCATCTTGAACAATACAGTTAATCGTGAGGGGTCGAAAAAAGAAGAATTCTAGTTTTTTCAACTTCTAAACTTTCAATGTTTTTTAATGATGATAATGAGTTGAAATAGGAGTCAAGAATAAAAATAAACAAAAATTTAAATAGGTATCCAAAAGACAGCCAAAAAGAAGATATTTTTTATTTATTTATATAATTTTTTTATAAAATTTTTTATTTGTTCAGTGGAAACTTCACTGAATGCTTTTATTTATTTTCCAGAATGTATTTCACTTGATATATATACTCAGCATTAATATTGGTGCAATGTCGGTTTGTAAACACCAATATTGTTTAACTGGAACCGATTTGCATTGTTTTTGTCTAAAGTATTCATTTTTTTTTTAAAGTGTATTTGTATGTTTGTGGGTTTTTGTGTATCTGTATGAATAACGTTTCAGAAGTGCACACAGATTGTGTGATTGTTAAGGGAAAAGTGTTTTGAAGAAACCGGAGCGGGTAAAAAAAAGCGCAGGAAGCTGAATTGAAAAGCACATAAAACAGAATTTGTATTGAAGTGAAAGTAGAATGGGTAGTGAAATTATAAACGGAAGATGAAAAATGGTTTTTTTTTCTGTGGTTTATGAGTGAAGGGAGTCAGTGAGTCGTTACAAAGATTGTCATCAAAAGACGACAGGCACCATAGATCATACAGTAGTAGCAACAGCAATACCATTGCCATCAGTACCATCATCATCAACAGCTACAACAACAACAACTTTCAATATTCAGTAAATGTAATTATTTGTACATCATATTTATACGTATATATATATATATATGTTTATTTATTTATATTTATATTTATATTCAAGTTTAAATTTATTTATTTGTTTTTTTATTTATTGATTCATTCATTCACTTGTTTATTTGTTTATTTATTTGATTAATCAATTTATTCATTTATTTGTTCATCAATTAATTAATTTGTTAATTTATTCATTCATTCATTCACTTATTTATCTAATTAATTAATTAATTAATTTGTTTAC